TAGAACTGAGAAAGTATGTCATACTGAAAAGTCAAGCCACAGTGAAGTGAGCCAGCAGCAAGCTTGCAGAAAAGGTAAGTGGCAAAGGGCAAGGGTCAATGACCAAGAGAAAAGGCACAACAGGATAAGGCTGATGGGCATTCACTAGAGAATCAATGGAATGAGACAGAGAAACCTTCCACAGACCCACTATTGATTTAGCCAAGTTTTTAAAAAAATTGCATTATTTTACATCACCCTAATTTTAACTCACCCCATGGCTCCACAACACCACCAGAGTAACAGGGTACAAATATCACATAAAAAGGCTGATCCTGAAAAAGGCTGGGCACCCACTACCCTGAGTAGTTTTATTGGGTGCTGAAAGTGTTTCTCTTTTCTCAGGTGACACCCATACAAATGTGATAGACTAAATGCAAAATTCCTACTCAGTGGCTGTATCTACATGAGACCCTGACTGTGCAGTAGCCTGTTACTACTGCGCAGTAGTGTCATGTGGCAACAACAGAGGCACAAGGCTACTGCGCAGTAGTGTCACAAAAAAGGTGTTCATTGGTGCTACAGAGCAGTAACTGGGGTTACTGAGCAGTCATTTTGTACTTCTATAAACAAGTACAAAATGACTGTGCAGTAACGACCTTGCAGTCAGCATCTCATGTAGACATGGACAGTGGTTCTCAATTTTTTTAGACCAAGGGCATCCCTCGATAGATTCAAAGTCCCCTTTGCAAAATGCCAGTTCTTAGTTTTCACTCTTTTTTCAGCTACAGAAAAATAATAGAGCAATTGTTCGGTTGCAAAAAACTCAGAGAGACCACAACAGGTCAGAATGTTTTAATATTATAGATTCCTATTTGAAAACTCTGGGTTTATCTTGTGAATCATGTCTGCACACCTAACAGTACTAACATTGTGTGGCATCACATAGCACTCTTGAAAGGGTCTCAAGGCACTCTGGGGTGCTACAGCACCTTGGTTGAGAATCACTGTTCCTAGCAGTATTTGGGTATCAAACAGGTACTACACAGTGCTGTGAAACTCCACTGTCATATAGTTGCAAAACTATACAACCTGCACAAAAGCAGTGCAGTACGATCACAGAATACATATTAAACTTAGCTTTGATGTTCATTTGTGTTTGTGAACCAAATTTTTTAGAGGAAAATGTAAAGTGACCCTAGCAATTCTGTTTTGCTTCTATTTCCATAAGATCTAATAAATATTAGATAAATTGGCTTAATTTCTCAATAGCATTTTTATTCCAAAATATAAAAACAGAAAAAAATCTACATTCTACTAACTTACCTGGAAGATCTTGGTGAGAAGAATTCTTATTCAGTTGGGTGGTTTTTTTTGGTTTGGTTTTGCTTTTTTGGTTTGGTTTGGTTTGTTTTTTCTGCAAACAAGTAGTCTTCAGTGTTTTTACAGCGGTGCCTATTACAGAAACTATATCTCTTATCTTGGAGGGTGAACAAAATAAACAAACTGAAAATAATACTACAATGAACAGTAAATGATGAAAGGTTCACAGTACAAAAAATAGTGTAAAGAGGAAGACAAGTTTAAATATTGTTGTGTAAGAAAGGGATGAAAATAATACAAGGATGAGAATAAGTAAAATGATAGGCTGGAACATCTGGGAAAGTAAATACAGAGAGAAAGATAACAGTTAATTTATGAAACAGCAAGTCCACTGTTTTAACAGAGTAAGCAGTGAATCTGATCCTAATCCTGTGAATGCACTTTGCATCAATGTCCCATTTGCCTTCTACATGCAACCCGTTAGCAAAGGTAAGTCGCAAAATGACTAAATCTAAACAACTGCATTTGATCTCATGCAGTGCACTTACAGCTTTAAACTCACTGGGCACATCCAGATGTGCATGGATGTTTGGTTCCCTGGGGACATGTAGCGGCAGTGCATCTTGTGTCACCATTACTTGTCCGCAGGGAACGCCAGTGCCATGTGTGCTTTGGTGCACAACAAGTTGCCACAGGTGGGCTAGGAGAGGCAGAGGCCAGCACTGGGCTAGCCCCAGCAGCCTTACCTGGGGTCCTGGGGGCCTCTTGGGGCTGCAGCCATGGCGATCCTGCCAGGTGGAGCCCAGCCAGCAGCTTTGGTGCAGCTCCAAGCAGCCCAGCTCCACTTTTCAGCAGTGCATGCTGCCCAAGCACGCGCTGCTTTGGGTTATTTTTCTGTGGGGTTTTTGACCCCTGGATATCCAGGGATCAAAAGAAACACACAGAAAAAAAAACGAAGCAGTACATGCTCAGGCAGCACACTCTTGCAGCACAGAGAACACCAGACTGTGCGTTATGTGGTGCTGCAAACATGTTTGCGGCACCACATACCACACAACCACGCTCATCTGGATGTGCCCACTCGGTGTATCTACACGATATGCAACAAGTGCAGTAGACTAATTCTACTGTGCTTTAATGTGGCAGATAGTGCTAATGCAATAATGTGCAGTGGAATTAGAATACTGTGCATTAGCGTCAAAAAAGCATGCACTGGCACTACTGTGCAGTAGTGCCTATTACTGCACATTAAGGCATATATGTAGATGTGTCCACTGTGCCTGTGACTTTCTCATATAAAGAAATAAAAACCTAATTAGTCAATATACAAATAAGAAAAAAATACTGTCAGCTTTCCATAGCAACACTTTTGATGGTACAACTAATAGCACTGCATAAAGTTGCCAAAACATAATAAGAGACTTACTAGGAAATCTGGACAATGCTATTAGTAATAACAACATTTGTATGATAAGATGCATGCATGCTAAGATAAAAGTAGTAGATTTTATTCATCAAGTCATAAGATGATAATCATGAGGATCAGCAAGGAATTTCCTCCCCAGATTATGTATGGAACAATACTGTGGGCGCGTCTACACAAGATGCTTTACTCATGATTAGAGCAAATTACTGTACAGTAAACATCACCATCTACACGTTAAGACTCTTATGGCACAGTAATTTGCTCTGATCATGAGTAAATTCGCTACCTGTAAATACAAGTAGCAAATTTACTTGCGATTAGTTACTGTGCAGTACGGCACATATAGATGGCTGATTGGGAACAAACATGCTCCTGGTCAACCAGGCAACAGGGGGTGGGAGATTTCTCCCTGCCTCCAGGAGCTGCCTACTACCAAGGCAGGCTCCACCACTGGAGCCAGGGTGTGGACAATTTCCTCCTGCCCCAGAAGCAGGGAGTTCCCAGCCCCCACTCTGAAACTGCAATCATGGAGTGAGGGCTGGGAACAATCTCCCAGCCTGGCTAGGACCTGCTCCTGACCAGAACAGTTCCTGGTCAGCCCCAGGCTGCATGGGAAAGTCTACATATGCAGCCCAGGGCTAGCCAGGGACTGCCCATGCAGCCCGGGGCTGGCCGGGAACTATCTTGGTCAGTGGCAGGTCCCAGCCCTGTGTCCTGACTGGGTGATTGAGGTATGGAGCTTGGGAAGAGCTGTGGGGGTAGATCCCAGCCCCCTGCCCTGATCTGCCAGTAAGGCAGCTAGCAGTGGACCCCCCTACAGCTCTTTCCAAGCCTCCTGACTCCAATCAGGGGGTCCCTGCTGCTGGGGCAGAAGGACATTGTCCCCACCTGGCACCTGGCAGCAGGCAGCTCCCAAGTGCAGGGAGCAATCTCCCAACCCCTGCCAGGAGATAGCAGTCTCCTGGCCCTGTGTTCCCTGCCAGCCCCTGGGCTAGCACCCAAGGGGAGCCTACAGCTCCCCCTGGCTGCTTCAGGGGCTGGTGCAGGGCCAGAGAGGGCAGGAACAAACTGCTGCCAGGAGCAGCAAATCTGCTTTCGCATCCCCACATGTGTAGATGGCCCACCTGGGGTGGGTTTACTGTAGAGTCAATTACTGCAATGCAAACCCACCACAGGCAGGTGTCTACACATGCGAGGATGTGGGATAAGATTTGCTCTAAAGTAAACCCACCCCACAGCTTTTGCATGTGTAGATGCATCCTGTATGTAATATGCAGGATTTTGGTTGCACTGGTTTTGTTCTTCTTCTACTGTTGAGTAAGAAATGGCCATTAATAGATGCAGCAAATTACACTTGATGAACTAACATGCTAAGCTATTATCAAAACATCTCTGTTCCATCTCCTACAATACCCTTCTGTGCATCTGGAAAGTAATTTTTCATGTTAATTAATCCCTGGTGTTTGATATACACTCTTATAATTGTGGCAATAAACTGTTTTCTCCTCTGGTAATGTCTCCATTTGCTTCTTTTCTTGATGGTTTCTTCCTGTTTTTCAGTAGGAGCTGATACTAAAATGGTTGTTTTTCTTATCATCAGCAGGCAAGGTTCTTTAGGTAGATGTGATATCTTTTATTAGACCAACAACACTATTCTTAAATACTGCCCTCTAACACCAAAGAATATCTGTTCCATGTCCTTACTAGTGATGATGGTCCAACTTTGGCAAGTGCTTGTACAAGCCAAAAAAAAATGCCAAAAGAGACAAATTTGCTGTTTCTGGGTGCATCTTTACTGCACGGTTGACTGCAGTAAACATCTTGGCATCTACATGTACACCCTTATTAGGCTGGAGTAAACTAATTTCCTAAAAAGCTCCATCACAGCGCATGTGTAGATGCTGCCCTGGGTGGCTGGGGCATGAGCATGCTTCAATGCAGAGGCTGTCTGCTAGCTAGCAGGCTAGCTGGAGGGGCTGCCTGCTGGCTACACTAAAGTACTCTCATGCTCCCGCCAGCCCCTCCACAGCATGTTGAACCAGGGGGGAGCATCTCTGAGCTGGCAGGCTGACCCCTTGGGCTCCCTGCCACCTGGGGTTGCTCCATCCCAGCTCAGTGTGTTGTACTTCTGGGCATGCATTCAAATGGCAGTAAACTCCAGAGTTTATTGCCCTAGAATTTATTGCTCCCAGGTGCACATTCAAATGGTGTGCCCAGGACCAATAATCTTGACAGCAATAAATTCAGGAGTTTACTGATTCACATTAATTGCATATGTAAACACGCCCTTCTACAGCAATAGTATCTTCAGTTATATTTTTTAATGTAAAACCAATCCTACAATCACATAAATAGCCATTACTCACATGAGTAGCCCAAATGACTCCATTTGTAGTGAGGTCCCTTGTGGTGGACTTAGGGATTTAAAATTAAACCACAGATATTTAGAAACCAAAGACTCTGCCCATGATACTATTGTAAGTTTAAGGTGCCATAGGTGAAATTTTTGGCTGAAATTGTTTGGCAGTCCCTTTTTACCTGTAGGCCATAATAAGTAAAAGTCTACCTGACTCACTGACAAAGGTTCGTCTGAACTTCGGTCATCTGATGACTTTGGAACTTCTAGTCTGTCGATGAAAGTCTGGAGTTCTTTCCGAAATGCCTTCATCTGTGCGTTGATCCGATAAAGAAGCTCATGCTCCCGTATTCTGCTGCCATCATCTTCTTCATCCATCAGTCCGAACAGATCTCCATTGGCCACATAAATTCTTGCCTCTGTTATAATGGTGCTTGTGTCAGAAATCAGGCGATCTATTGTCTTTCCTAGTCGCTCAGCTTCTGAGCGGATGTCCTTCATCTGCTGCCGATCAGTGAAGTTTTTCTGCCACCCTGTTGGGGTTGGATAAAAAGATCTTGTGGGAGTCAGGCACCGGATGTTACGTACCTCTTCAGAGTCACTTTCTCCCCCAATGGGCCCTTCCCTCTTTCGGTGAGGAGGGCGGGAATCATCATCGCTTTCTTTTTTCCCCGCATCACTTTCAGCATCGCTGTCTCTGGGGCTGCCTCGGATCCCAAGGTGAGAGGCCAAATCATAGCGTTGCATGTTGGACATTAATACCCTGTTCTCATACTGAAGTTGCATGACTTTGCCACTAAGCTCATTGATTTGCATACGGGCAGCTTTTAGCTCTTCCTGCAGTGCTTCTGTCTTGGCATTATCATGATGCCTTGAGCTCTCATGGGCACCAGACTTATACTTGTATTTGTTTAGCTCAGCTGTGATGCGTTTGTTCTGCTCCTCCAGGTCAGCCAAGTTTCTCCGCAACAATTCTGTTTCATCTTCAACTAGCTGCAAATGCTGCCGTAACTCTGAGAGGGATTCACTCTGCTCCCCGAGGAGCGGGTTTGCTGTCCCTGAGAAATCATCTCCCCTTAAATCATCAAGCTCTGCTTTCAGTCCTCTGTTTTCTACTTCTAGTTCCACTATTTTTCTTCCAAGGATGTTGGCTTCTTCCTCTACTAGTCTCAATCGAAGTTTGAGTTCTGCTTCTCTGGTGGTTGGGGGTCCACCTGCTTCTCCTTTTGGTAAGGGGCTGTCTAGATCCCCATAAAATGATCTATATTTTTGCAGTTCATGTTCAAATCTGTCTTTCTCCTTATCAATTTTAGCCATTTTTTTCCTCATCAAGGCAGCTTCTTCTTTGACAAACTGCAACTGGCATTTCAGATCTTCATTGTCCTCCTTATGAAAAGAAATAAAAGATTTAGCACTCACTTGATGTAAGTAAAGAAATAATAATCTGACATCACAAATGACTTTTACATTAAGAAGTCAAATAAAATTTTTAAGTTTAACAATAAAAGTGATCAAAATTTCAGATGCTAAAAGATTACAATAGTTATTACTGTTCTACTCCCAAGGAGTGAGATTATATTTAAAACATATATCTACTTTCTTTGATATGAATGTCCCTAAATATGTGTGGAGGTCTGGTATGAAAGAATGAGATTTTTTAGAAAAAATAAGGGGAGGAAATTGAAGAGTGAGATTATACATTTTAAAATTCCGTATCCAAAAGCTGAATAAATAAAATTAAAGCTACTTGCAACCCCAGAACTCTCAAAGCAGCACACAAAAGTCCTGAACTAGGTAAAATGCTCGTTTACTTAATGGGAGTTTTGTTTTTCACCCTGATTCTACAACCTGGACCTCTGAGACCATGAGGTACCATGGACAGGCCAAATTTGTATGGCTCTCACTATAGGACTGAATTAATGTTAAAACTGCAGATTTGGGCCCAAGTGTCTCATACACCTTTCAGCAACATGATATAATAAAATACAATACCACAAACACTATAGGGCCAGGTACTCAACTCATCTTAATTGACTTAGATTCAAGGAAGGCATAAGTTAAGGTATTATTCACCATACCTCTGTGGGTGTCTGTTGTGACTTTTTTTCTGATTTCTGCAAGTCTTTGCTCCCTCTTCTTTTCAATGACTGCTATAAAAAAAAAAAAGAAGAATTACATTGAAAATGTCACTTCAGATGTATCTAACTCAGCCTCATTTTTTAAAACAGCACTTTGCATAGAAATTGAGCTGGAGACATAACATAAATTCCATGCAAGGCAAAATAATATAGCTACTATAGTTGACTGCATTTTGCATATAAGAACATTTCACAAACAGGAAATACAGAATCCTTACAACAGTCCTAAAGGTAAGTACCATTACCTCATTTTTCAAATGGGGAAAAATGAGGCAGATGGCACTATCTGGTATCACTGAAGTCAATGAAAGCTTTGCCATTACCCTCAGTGGTGTCAGGATTTCATTCAGAGTTTAGACTGCAATCCAGAAGTATGACTGTAGCTTGCATACACATATCGGAGTTAGCTTTAGTCTGGTTTACACAGCTGTACAGCAGTATAGCTGCAATGACACTGTCCTTACACACAGTCATAGTTGGGTTCATGTGGCTACACCAGTGTTGGTATCCAAACATACTGGCTTCAAGTTTGCACACGAACATTTGTATAACTCTCAATGACAGCCCAGGATGGTAGAATAGACTGACTTAAGTGACTAAAACCAAAGAGGGAATAAGAAGCCAGCAGTTCCCAGTAACTGGTTCCTTTTCAGTAAGGAAAAAAATAAAAATAAATGTTAAAACTAGAGCTGGTGGAATAATTTGATGGAAATAAGTTCTCTCAGGGGTTTAGGCCCCCCCCCCCCTTTTTTTTTGTTCAAATGTGCAAGCCAGTCCTAATATATGTGGGTGAATCATATATTCACAAGCACTGACTAAATCATTTGATTGACTAATTTTAACCTGCTGGGTTGTTTGCAACTTGTTTGCTTGGACTGTTTGCTATGCACCAAGAAGGATGGGTCACCACAGTCATTCCTGGTGTCTGAGTAGATAACACTGACTATAGAATAATGAAAAATGGGTCAGATCCTGCAGGGATTTTCTGTGCCTGGTGAACCCTTGGATGGAATAGACAGAATATTGGCAGCTTCTAAGCTATGTTCTCTATACCCACTCCTCTAGAGCAGGAGATGTGCTTAGAAAGCAGATATGACCTGGAAAACTTTGGCTTCTAGAACTACCTGCTGGGCCACTTAAGTATAAGCTAAAACAGCCTCTCAGGTAAAGGAGGATAATGAATCTGGGTCTCCCATTTCTTGAGTGAGTGCTCTAGCTGCTATGCTATTTGTGCAAAAGGTGGGCACAACCGGAAGCATAACAACACAGCCAGGTGCCCAGGGCAGCTGCCACATGCAGGCGGTGGCAACTCCTGGTTGCTGCTATACTGCCACTGTGATCATGTGGCTATAGCAGCAGTCAATTTTTTTTGCACCTGCTCCTCTCCCCCATGTTGGGCTGGGACAGCTGCCCATGTCACCCTCCCTAAGTTACACCACTGGGCACCACCATCACTATGACAGGCATCCCTTTGTAGGAGCCTAAGGGATTGGAGTCTTTAGCAAACTTGAGGCACCCCCCGTTCTGACCTGAATCTTCGCGTAATTCAGGCAGCTCACTACTTCTTGCACTGCATCATTTCTGAGCATGCTAGGGAGCATTTCAGTGCAAAAATTGAGGCACTTTTGATTTTAAGGTGCCTAAGAAGTTCTTCAACTGCTGGAGTCAAGCCAATTTGGATTACTTTTTGTGAACTGTGTGTCTAAAATCCACCTACAGCCCATTTAGGTTTACTGGAAGAATATAAATCTGGCCCTTTGTTTCTTAGCTTAATACAAGCTCATACTTTTAGTGCCGCTTCAGAATCACTTAGTATATCCATAAAGATTCCTCCGGCATATACTGGGATTCCTGGCTACTAGTGATGGAGAATCCATTATTAGAGGTAGCAGTAGTGGAAAACAATGACAGCTCACATCCTCTGCTTCTGCCAAGCGCCAATTTATCCTGACAACTAAATGGGTCTGGCCAGGAAGGAAAATACTGAGAATGAATTGATTCAGAATGCTCCTCCTGAAGCATTCCTTGTCTCCTATGCAGCTCTACATCAAATTTTAATATATCCCAACTCTGCACAATCTCTAACATAGGACAGAACTATCAACAGTCTTGATCTTTTTTAGATGGGGTGTCCTTCTCTTGCACAGTGAATTTCTGTCCCACAGGCAGCCAAGACATTCAGACTGTCCTTCTCCAGCAAGAGGAGAAAACAACGGTGTCCAAAACTAAAGCCAGTTTTGTTCACTAAAAGATTGAAGTTTGTAGACCATGAACCTCAAGGGTCAGAACACAGTTGGTAAGTCTACCATACACAATAGCTCTATGCATTGGTCCCATTTGCTTACCGTCTTTTGAGGGTAGTTCTCATAGCAAATGAAAACAGTGCTAAACTAAAGTTGATAACATAAAAACCAGAAGCTACTATCAGTGGACCCACAATAACTTAGGTTCAGAATTCCACTTTGAGCCCAATGCATATTTCAACTTGAGCCATGAGGTGCAGAATTAGGAGAGGGTGTACCAAAACACAGAGTTACAGTTTGGAACCAGCTCTTGAAGAAACAGTGAATGGTGACTGAATGTGAATGCTGAAGACACAGCAGTATAATAGAGCAATTAAAACATATTAGCTTCCTAACTGGGTACTTATGAGTTCCAGGAACCTGATGAATCCAGAGAAACAGAAGTTTAAAGTAATAAAACAAATGCATTATTTTTTGAAAATGTAAGAGGTTGGTGGTTTAAATTTTTTTTTTCTGTATTGATGATCCATTAATACAAGATGCAGAGCCAACATCTCATCAAGATAATAAGTTTGGCAGTGGCTTTTTATATAATGAGAAAGTAAGTCTTCCTAAGGCAGGAGTCCAAACTCAAAGATGAATAAGGAGCTGAATCTTGAGAGGGTCAGCTTCCTACTTTTACTACAGGAAAGGCACTGGAAACTTTCTTAAAACAGTGGCCGCATCTACACATGTGGTGGACTGTGCAGTTGCTACTGCATAGTCATTTAGTACTCACTTATGCAAGTATTAAATGATTGTGCAGTAACTGGCATTACTGCACAGTACTATCGCGACATGGTTTTTTCCTGATGCAACTGCAATAGCAATGAGCTACTGCACAGTAGGTTGTTACTATTGCACAGGAGCAGCGCTGCACGGTTAGTGCCCAGGAACACTATTGCGCAGTACCAATGAGTTACGGCACAGTAATTCATTGCCACTGTGCCATAGTGTCTCATGTAGATCCACCCACAAAGTACTGGAGACAGTAATAAAGCTCTGCTTAATTACCCACATTTCCCCCTTGCCCATCACAGAACTCAGAACCTCTTCAGACTTAAGGAACTTTTCAGCTCTGACTTCTTCAGTATGCCCTGCAGTTTTTTAAAAATTAAAGATGAAAACTGTATGACAGTTTCCCATTACAAAAATAAATAAATCAGATAACAAACATACATATTTTGAGGATTGTGAAGAAACTATTTTTTTTCTCCAGTCTTTTTTTTTCTGCAAATGCTAATGTCATTTTTAGAGTCAGGATACAAACATTTTAATAAAAAACATTTGTGTTTATATGTTACATTTATTCTGTTCTACTTACAATAAACTATACCCAGGGCACACACCAACCTCTAATGAATTAAGCAGCTGTTTAACTGCATCAGTAACATGATGTTACAGGTGAAAATCATGAAAAATGCAACAAAGGCAATTAAAATAAGGTGATCGTGCCCAGCTGGAATTTGAGCATAAGCTTTTCTGTTATGTACACACACTATCCTTTTATTTCCAGGCTCCTTATATTCCATAAAAAAATAATTTATCATATTTTCAGTATGTTAAATCACCTACAGCTAATACATACTAAAATTCATAGAAACTGAATTTGTAAGAAAATAATTAGGGATGGTATAAAAATGGACAAACTGAACTTTCCTCCTTCCTCTGATAATCTTAAACTCAAGGGGAAGGAGAGAAAAAGAGGCATATATTGGAGATATATTCAGCATGGCAAAAGAGTCGTAAAACTGTATAGAAGATGAAAGAAAGTGTGAGGTCAAAGAAAAGACTCAGACTGGGTGAGAACAAAAAGAGAAGGGAAAAATTGAAGGAGGGAGAATCAATTTAAGAGCAAGACAGATTATACAGAGATTTTTGTGGCATGACTTTCAGATTATGATGTCTACTAGGCACATGTAAAGTTATGTGCAGGTACTCTGTGGATATGCTTAGAATCATAGAATCCTAGAATCGGAGAAAGGTAGGGCTGGAAGGGAAATTCACAGCTCATCTAGTTCAACCACCTGCCTGAGGCTGGGTCATATCTAACTAAGCCATCCTATATAAATCAATTGCCTAACCCACTGGTGTCCAAACTTTTGCCCAGTGAGATGGACTGCCAGTGCCCAGTCTGTCAATGGGCCAGATTCAGCCAGTGCTCCCAATTCAGTGCAGGCAGAGCAGGCACCATCTGGCCGCATAGAGGTTGTGGCAAGAGGGGAAAGGCTAGCCCCAACTCACCCCCACAGAGGAAAGGAGCTCCACCCAGACTATGCAGAGGAAAGGGGGCATGGCCCAGCCCTGGCAACAGGGGAAAGGGGCATGGCCCAGCCCCAGTGGGAAGGAAGGGGGCATGGCCCAGTCCTGCCGGAAGGGATGTATTGTCTAGCCTTAGGGAGGGAAGGGGGAAAGGCACGACCCAAATTCAGAAATGGGGGGGCATGGCCTGCCCCCACAAGTAAAGGGGACATAGCTAGTCTCTGAATATCCATGTGGGGAATGGGGTTTGGGGAATTTGATGGGGGGATGGTGGCCATATAAATGGTCACCAGTCCCCCACTGCCAAATATCCAGACCTATGGGGATTCCCATGGGTCTAATACGATGGCTCCACAGGCCACATTTGGTCTACAGGCCAGAGAGGTTGAGCACCCCGATCTAATCTATTAGTAAAACTCCATAGCCAACCCTGACACAATCACAAGGCATAACATCCTAACCTGCCAC